TGGAGTTTGTCCTGCTGACACCAGGAGACATGGGATGGAGAAGGGGGACTGCCAAGGCAGGAAAGCAGGAGGGTGAAGGGTACAGGGTGGGTTAGATAAAACAAGGTGAGAAGAGGGGACAACTCAAATGAGAGCCAGCGTCACCTCACCCAGAGTAGAAACGCAACCGATGCATCTAGAGTAGATAGTGTATTTGTTCCATCAAAGGACATTCTGATAAGGTAGGATGAGAACATGTATGATTTAACAGTCCAAGGAAGGTGGGTGATGTGGCTCACACCCATAGTCCCAGAACGTGAGAGGCTGAGGCAGAGGATTGCAGCACGGTTGAGACCAGCCAGGGCTACAGCGGGAGAGACTGCCTCAAAAAATAAAAACAACAACAAAAAGCAGAAGCAACTCAAAACAAAGATCAATCAAGAAATTTCAATATGATGGACACGGTGAAACACACCTTTAGTTCCAGCGCTTGGGAGGCAGAGGCAGGTGTCTGTCTGTGGGAACAAGGCCAGTCCTAGCTATATAATGGACGCCAGCCAGGGCTACATCATGAGACCCTCTAACAGATAAAAGAAAAAGAAACCCAAGCAAGTTCCATTCGGGCTGGAGCTGGACAGCCTCAGTGTCTGAGTACTTTCCAGTCTCAGGACACCACTCTGTTGAGGACCTGCTCTGCAGTGTGGGTGGGATTCTCTCTGAAGATAGAGGAGACAGGAGAAGAGTCACAGTTCTCACTGGGGCACTGAGGATTTGCTTTCTAAGCTCTCCAGGAGGACACATGATGGTGGCAGGTGTGCATGTATGTACATGTGTATTCATCTATGCACATGTATGCATGTGTACTTGTGTGCACATAGTATACCCACCTGTAAGTGTATGTGTTTGCATTCATGGGCATAAATATGTGTGTGCAAGTGCATTTATGCACGCATTTGTATCTGTGTGTACATACATATGCACATGTGTTTATACACACATGTGTGCTTTTGTGTATTTTTGTGCATGTGTGTGCCAGTGGCGTCTCCAGATCTCTTGCTCTCTAAATCTTTTCTGGAGCTGAACACTGTCTAGCTTCCTGCTGATGCTAATCTCTCCTAAGACTACCTCTTTGAGCTCAGTAAGCCTGGATTTGAAAAATACCCCAGCCTTACATTCCCCCCAGCGGGGAGGTGGAGGAGGCACAGACCAGTTTCAACAAACCTCTTGCCTTGCAGGCAACAGCTAATGGCAAAAATGACTATTCAAGTAAAGCCTGGGTGCGCCAGCTTTTTCATTTTTTCCTTAGTGAATTAATTCAGGAGTGATGATTACATATCTTGGCGAATGGGAGAAATGAAAAAAAAAAACATTTAAGTAAGGAAGCAGGAAAAGGTGTCCTAGAGAGGTAGGAGGAGGGGCCAGTGGTGTTTGGGGAAACCACTGAGTGCAGTCACAGACAGGGAGGCAAGGGAGCCTGGCTAGTTCTGCAACAGCGCATGTGCAGGCCCTGGGTTCCACCGTGAGCAACCCTGCAAACAGGGAACGAGAGCAGCAAACCAGGGGAACAAGAAGACGCGAGATGGGGAGGCACCGAGGAGGATGCGTAAGAAGTGCACAGAAAGGAAATGATTAATTTAGATGAAATTTTGATTTCTTTTTTGTTAGACAGGAGTGGGTTTCAACTGTGTCTTTAAATGTGTACAGATATCTGTCATGTGACAGACAGCACATGATACTCAACCCTTGCTTTGAGTACCAAGATGTCTCGAAATGCCCATGGCCTAAAGCTCCCACGCTCTCTCCTTCTCCCCTCCTTTCCCTCTCCGTCTCTTACTGTTGTTTTGAGACAGGCTATTACTACGAACTTCAGGCTAGTCTGGGCACAGAAACCTAGACAACACTCTCCTTCCGGCCTCTCAGGTACAGAGATTACAGGCTTGTGCTACACATCCAGCCTGGAAATTCCGTGTTTCTGAGAAAAGATTTCCAATAGTCAAACCGTAGAAACTATCTAAACATACTTTACCTGCATGGTTCCATTTTTAGGATGTATTCACAACAGGCAAATCCACGAGTCAGACAGCAGGGTAAAAATGGCTGCTGGGGACGACAGCAGGGAGGAGGTCAGGAAGATGGGGCTTTCCCTGTGGGGTGAGGAGCTGAAGCAAGACAGTGTTGCCGGGATAGTGATTTATAAATGCTAAAAGCCACTGAACTGCAACTTTAGGATGAATTTTATGTGTAATTGTGTATTTGTAAATAAAAATGCATTTCTAGGGCTGTAATGAGCTTACTCATTCTGTTGTTATTTATTTTACCTTCCTGGAAATACTGTTATGATCACATGATCAACTCAAAATCCTCTCACTTCCATGCCCTAGCTACTCCATGCCTATCTCCAAAAAGCCAGGGATATTACCAGTTTCCATGCATAGTCACAAGAGTCACAGATTTTTATGTACACAGGCAAATGAATGCATAGATGCATTCTGCTCCCCTTTGAAATGAGTAGTGACTTTCGCTTGGTTCTGTACTTTGCTGATTTCCTTACAGGATGTACATTCACATCCTACATAACCAGGTCAGCCAGCAATGGACCTGACAGACAACAGTGGTCTCAAAGCCTTGTATCACTGTAGAAGGCATACCCCCAGGACTTACTTCCTACACACACACACACACACACACACACACACACACACACACACACACAAGCAAAGACTCACAACTGCCAGTTTTCTGGAAGTAAACAAAGAACTAAGTGGGAGGTCAGGACCTGACACCAAGCGTTGCCTGGAACAAACAGTAAATTCTTTCACAGCCTTGGGTCTTTCCAGATTAAGGGGCTGCTTTTCCCCAGGGACTGGAGCGAGATCTGGGAACTTCGCTGATACAGGAACTGGTTGCTAAGATGCTCTGCTCATTTCTTTGGACCTCACACATGAAGACCCCCATGTATATGTAACATTAATAAAATTCATGTAGTTTTATTACTTATTAATCCCTAGGTCTACCTAAATGCGCTTTTAAGGGGGACAGAAGGGAACTTTCCTTCTTTTCAAAATAGAACCAGCCCGTGAGCTATGAGCCAGGCAGCCTTCCTTGGTCTAGGGCCTCAGCTGTGGATAAACCATCCCAGGATTATGACTATCGGACCACAGGAATCAAAAGCCAGCAGCCAGGCAGCCATTTAGCAAGACTGGCAGTCTCAGACCTGATATTTTATAACAGAACACAAAAACCAGATGGGCTGGAAATGTAGCTCAGCTGGTGTTTACCCGGGAAATACGAAGCCCCAGCTTCAGCACCTCAGAAAGGAAGAAGCAGTGGTATACACCTGTAATCCCAGCACTTGGGAGGTAGAGATGGGAGGATTGGAAATTCAAGGACATCCTTGGCTGTATAAAAGGGAGGTTGAGGCCAGCCTGTGCTACCTGAGTCCTTGTCACCAACAACATAGAAGAGAACACGAAGGACAGGGTGAGAAAGTCAGTGTGTTGTGACCGAGAGAAATGTCGTCTGCTTTTCAGACAGCATTGAGCAGGGACTTGGTAGAGTACCTGCCTAGCATGTGTGAGGCCCTGGGTGTCATCCCACTATAGGAAAATTAATATGCACATACATGTGGGGACTCAAACAGGGGCCTTGCTTCATACTTGAAATCATTCACAGCAGTCAAAAGGCAGATGCAGCCTGTGTCTGTCAGTGAATGGTTGGGTAACCCCGATGTGCTGTACGTATACAAGGCTAAAACATCGTTAAAGCTTAAGGGCTGAGCTAGGGAGAGGGGAGAACGGAAAGCTATGCCTTAATGTTTCAGTTTCAGCAGACGAAAGGTGTTAAATGAACGGATGCCGCCCAGCTATGTACTTAAAAGAGGTTAAAATGGCCTGTTTTCTACTGTCTTTTATTTTACACATCACACATCATTTTAGATTTGTTCATTTTGTTTTATGTATATAAGCATTTCGTCTGCCTATATGTCTGTGCGCCATGTGCATGCCTGGTGCCTGTGTAGGTCAAGAGGGGCTTGGGTTCCCTGGAAGCGGAGTTGCGTGTGGATGCTGGGAATTGAACCTGGGTCTTCTGCAAGGACATAATTGCTCTTAACCTCTGAGCCATCTCTCTGGGCCCTTTAACATATTTTTTTATCAGGAAGGAAATTTGGACACATGGAGACCTGTGGGGACTTCTTGCGAAGTGAAATGCCAGCCACAAAGGACCAACGCTGGATGATTGTGATTGCTCTCGACAGACTCGGAGACAAAGCAGGATGTCCCAGGGAGGGGAGAGAGAAGAAATTAGTGTTTGATGAGTTAAAATTTCAGTTTTCTGTGCTGTCAAGATGGCTCAGTGGGTGAAGGTGCTGGATTGTTGCTCAGTGAGGAAAGACAGACAGCCTGAGTTCAGTCCAATCCTCAAAACCCAGATAAGGCAGGAAGAGAGAACGGACTCCATGAAGTTGTCCACTGGCTTCTACATGCATGCTGTCACACACACACACACACACACACACACACACACACACACACACGTCCACACACACATGTGCGCGTGTGCACACACATACACTAATAATAATAAATAAAGTGTTAAGAAAACAGGTCACGGTCTCTTAAAAATAGTTTTTGTTTTTCAAGATGAAAAGGTTCTCTGGATAGAAGAGAGGGCAGCTTTACCTAATGCTTTTGAACTACACATAAAAATAGTTGAAATGGTAAAATTTATGTATGTAACACAAATAAAGAAGTTACTGCTGGACTTAGTCACACATACAGAAGGTTGAGGCGGGAGAATAGAGATTTTGAGGCCAGCCAGGGTTGCATGGCAAGACCTTGCCAAAAAATAAAAAAAAAAAAAGAAAGAAAACAAGAAAAAAGACAAAAGCGAATAAGAAATAAGCAAAAGATAAAGAAGAACTACAAACTCAGAAAAGGGAGAATACTGTTAAATTTCTACACCCCCATCCATGTATCTTGTGTAGAAAACAGCAGGTTGATGATAAGAGAACAGATCAACAATTTGTTCACAGGGAAGTTTTATTGTCCATTCCCCATGGAATGCAGGGGGAGACCTTTGTCCTCCACACAGATCCATGCACTCTGGAAGAGAGAGGAAGATCAATGGTTTATCGTCCTTTGGAATGCAGGCAAATGGCTCTGGATTAACCAGCCATGGTGGAGGAAGTGAGCACAGCGCTGGGGAAAACAATCATGGTCTTTACACCACGTCCACGTCTGTCTCTTCGAAAGGCCCAGAGGTGGTAGAGCAAGCGCTGAGAGCTGCAGGGAGGCTGCTTTTCCAGAAGTTTGCAGAAAGAAAAAAAATTAATATACGATTTAACTAAGACAACTGGAAAAGTGGATAAATGATATAAATCAGTAATTTGTAAAAGACGACTTTCAAGCCTTTGGCGACATTGCTAGGGTTTGCAAGAATTAGAGGAAATCAAATGAAGATGGCACTAAACACACACTGAAATGTTTCCCAATGTTAAAAAAGCCAAAAGCTTCCTGAAGTAGTGCGCTGTCAGGTTTGGGGATGGCAGTATGGCCATATACAGGAGCTATCAAAAGGATGTGAATCTAAGCCAGCTGTATGATACACATGTACCTAACTCCAGCCCCCTGGAGGCTGAGGAAGGAGATTTGAGGGCTCCTGGCCAATCTGGGCTACACAGCGAGACCCAGGCTTGGGAATAAAAGGCAAATAGATACAGACAGAAAATAAATAAGCTTTTGCCTGGGACCAGGCGATCCTAGGGAGGTCGGTAGGAAGGATCAGGTGACAGCCAAAAGGAACAGAAACTTCTTAGGATACTGAAGGGCTACTATAATAACCCATGCTGACGGATTTTCAATTCTGTAAATATACTTTATAACCTCCTAAGGTGAGTAAGACAGAGCCCTATGCACAGTGACTATGGTTAATAAGATATATTTATTGTATACTCAAAATTTTCTGAGAGTAGATATCAAGGGCTCTCATCACATACATGCTATTTATATTTGACAGTGGAAATCTGGAAAAGTATTTAACATCAAGGGAAAAGGGGAAGGGATGGGGGAAGCAGAAAAGAAGGAAGGGAGGAAGGAAGAGGGAGGAACAAGGGAGGGTGTCTTAGTTGAGGGGTCCATGACCAAAAGCAACTTGGGGAGGACAGGGTTTATTTTAGTTTATACTTCCACATCATAGTCCATCACCGAGGGAAGTCAGGGCAGGCACTCAAACAGGGCAGGAACTCAGGGGCAGGAGCTGATGGAGAGGCCATGGGAGAGGGCTATTTACTGACTTGCTTGCCCTGCTTCCTTCTAGCACCCAGGACCACCTGCCTAGGAGTGACAGTGCCTACCCTACAGGGACCAGATCTCCCTCACATCAATCATCAATCAAGAAAGTACACCACATGTTTGCCCACAGGCCAGTCTAGTAGGGGCATTTTCTCAATTGAGATTCCCTCTTTCAAAATGATGCTATCTGTGTCATGTGGACAGAAAGCCTAGGCACACAGAGGGATACTATTTCCTTCCCTTCCCAGCAGATAACAGGAAGGTTATCACTACTGTAAGGTTTAGTGACAGTTTGGATGGATAGTGACTCTCCCTGCTGCTAGTGGAAATGCTAAGTTGGTTCCTGCTGGAAATGACAATGATGTGGAATGTCCTTCTGTGTACTGTGAGTATATTTCATTACCATTGGATAGTAAAGACGGTGCTTTGGCCAATGGCAGGGCAGAATATAGCTAGCTGGGAAATCTAAGCAGAGAGACAGAAGGAAAGTAGGCACAGTCTGGGGGAGATGCTAACAACCACCAGAGGAATAAGATGTTAGAGTGTTATTGGTAAGCCATGGGGCACATGGCAATATACAGATGATTGGAAATGAGTTAATTTATATGTAGAGAGACCTAGTAGTAAGAAGCCGGAGCCATTGATCAAACAATTTGTAATTAATATTAAGCCTCAGAATGGTTATTTGGGAATGCTGGCCGGGAGAGAAACCTCCAGTTACATGACAATAGTGTGTATGATAACAACAAGCCTCTTCCATGACCCAACAGCTCCACTCCTAGGTTTAAAAAAATCTTCAGGAGCCTGTAGTGGTGGTGCACACCTTAATCCCAGCACACAGGAGGCAGAGGCAGGTGGATTTCTGAGTTTGAGGCCAGCCTGGACTACAGAGTGAGTTCTAGGGTCACCAGGGTTACACAGAGAAACCCTGTTTTGAAAAACAAAAAAACAAAACAACAAAAAAATCTCCAGGAGTTGTAAATATACATACCCTAAACCCACTGACAACTGTGTTTGTGGAGACATCATTTGTGACAGTGAGCAAGTTAAACATTATTTTAAAGACCTATTTTATTATTTATTTATGTGTATTCTGTGTGTTTGTGTGAGTACAAGAGCTAGCATAGGCCAGAAAAAGAATTGAGTTCCCTGGAACTGGAGTTACAGATGGTTGTGAGCTGGCATATAGGTGCTGGGAATCAAACTCTCTTGGGTCCTCAGCAAGAGCAGCCAGTGCTATTATCTGCTGAGCCATCTCTCCAGCCCCCCAATTTAAACATTTAAAATAACCGTGTACAGGACCACAAGGAAGTAAATAAATTATTTTGCTCATACAATGGGATAAATGAGAAGGCATGAAATAAGTATATCTACAGGAATACATCTCTCTCTCTCTCTCTCTCTCTCTCTCTCTCTCTCTCACACACACACACACACACACACACACACACTGATGGAGGAGGGTTATCTGTCTATTGTGTTATTTTCATTGGTCAATAAAGAGACTGCCTTGGCCCTCTGATAGGACAGAAAATTAGGTAGGCAGAGTAAACAGAACAGAATGCTGGGAAAAGGGCAATGAGGCAGATGCCATGGAGCCAGCCACCAGGTCAGACATGCTGAATCTTTTCCGGTAAGCCACTACCTCGTGGTGCTACCACGAGATTATTAGAAATGGGTTAATATCAAGATATGAGAGTTAGTCAGTAACTAACTCTCTAGAGATAATGGGCCAGGCAGTGTTTAAATGAATATAACTTGTGTGTTATTATTTCTGGGGCTAAGCTAGCTGTGCGGGAGCCGGGCAGGATGAAAAGCAGGCCTGCCCGCAGCCCCTCACTACAACACACACAATGTTAAGTGACAAAAATCAAGGTTGCCAGTGTCTTCTTACTCAGTGCTGCTTGTGTAAAGACTCGCGAAACAGCAGCAGCTCTATAGTCACATCACTCCTGAACGTATGAATGGAGGAGAAACAGTAAGCCCGGGACAGTAGCTCTGGAGAGAGGAACAGGAAAAAGAAGGGGGAGGGGTTACAAAGTACGGCAACTGTGCCAGCAACTGTGCCACTGTTCCGGTTTTAGACACGGTGGGAATTTGCACCGAGAATGGAATCTTCACAGCAGGAGCCACGGTCCAGAGTCAGCGTTTGCTCACCTTCAGCCAGCCTCTCCCTATCTCTGCTTGTCCCAAGCTGCAACAGGGCAGATACACTGACAGGGCTGTCTCTGGTATCTCACTGCACAGACTCAGAGGCTGTTGGTGAGCAGGAAGACAGCAGTTACAAACTATCCTCATCCGGGAGAGTGCAAAATTAGCATCTGGCCAGAAGAACACACACAGGACTCTGTGTAATCTCTCTCTCTCTCTCTCTCTCTCTCTCTCTCTCTCTCTCTCTCTCTCTCTCATGCACACACACACACAAAATCTTGCTTGAAACTCACCATGTAGTCCAGGGTGGTCTTGAACTCATGATCCTTCTGCCTCAGCCTTCCAAGTGCTAGGATTTCAGCAATGCACCACAATGCTCAGCCATAGAGAATTCTGCAGCATGGGAAAGGCTCAGAAGAATGCCTCTTCTATTATTGTGTCCCAAGAGTTACCTGCTCTTAGTGTCTAGGGTGATAGACTGGAAGATTTTAATGAGATGTCCTAGATGACCGAAGAGTCCAGAGGAAAGCCCCAGGGCCAGTTATCAGTGCTCCATGACAATCACAGGGCACAGGATTAACCCAGTGGAGTTGAAAGGTCATGCCAGACATTGGTAATGGAATGTTGCAAAATTTCACTTAGTGCTTGGAATATATACTTCAAATACTTTGGATAACTAAGAAAATGAAAAGGTTGTTGTTATTGTTGTTGTTGTTTTAACCTGAAAATGACCTCATTAATTTTTTCTATAAAAAGTCTTTGCATGGAATGTTGCTTAGCAAACAACTGTCCCCATACTACCCTGTAAAGCGACACATCTATTAACTATGTTCGGTACAATCAGAGGTAATACTGGCTCCCTTGACTTGCATAGACTTTAAAACAACCATGACTTTCTTACCTCTCTATAGTACTGTGATGACCTAGCATCAGCATGGTTTGCAGATCAGAAGACAAAGAGCCAGAAAAAAATAAAGGCTCAGAAAATCAGGCACCCAGAAAGCTGGAGGTAGGGGAATGATGGATCAGTTCCAACCGTCATTCTTCTAGAACGGTATTGTCTGCAAAGGCTTGCCCAGTGAAAGTCTTTGCTGCTAATAATGCTTTCCACTAACTGGCAGCAGCTCCCCCACCCCGGGGTGTTAATTAGAGATATAGAATCTTACACCCCACTCAGTTGTATTGGACCAGAGTCTCCTGTTTACCATGATTCTCCAAGGATTTTCACGAACGTGGTTCACTTATGTATTTATTTAAGGCAGGATCTCACTGTGTAGCCCAGGCTGACTTCAGACTCATTTTATAGCCCAGGCTGGACTTGGACTCCAGATCCTTTTGCTTCTATCTCCTGAGTACTAGGGTTACAGGTGTGTGCCTCCGTGCCAGCTTCATGCACATTTATGTTTGATAATCAGTCTTACAACCCAAGATAGCAATTGTCTTCCAAGCAGATGCTGGCGTAATAGGAAATAAAAGAAGATCAGACTCTCCAGAGAGTTTAGAAAGGGAAGACTTTCTGGAAGCCAGGTAAAGGTGATACTGGAAGTACCTGGCTTTGTGCAAGTAGGGAACTGCTATTTGCAGATTATATCAGGCACAGGATTGTTCTGTCTTTTCTCATTTATTGAAAACATAAAGTGGATCCTGGAAAACAGCAGGAAGAGCAGCAATGAAAAGGTTAAGTAAATAACATTGGAACTGATGTTGAAGCTCAGTAGTAGAGCAAGTGCATAGCATGAACAAGGTCCTCAGTTGTATGCCATCGTCAAGGTCATGCGCGCGCGCACACACATACACACAGTCCTAGTCCTGAACCTAGTCCTAAGCTCTCTCTGGAGCATTTGTTCACATGATATGCAGCATGATCGTGACCCCATCATATTTCAGTTTCCTCAGCTTGGAAACTGCCCATGTCATTTCCAGAGAGTGCATGAGGATTGTACCAAGGGTGTGATAATAAAGGGTTCTGGGGCCCTCAGATGGAAGATACAGTCCAAGTTTGTGTGTCATTACGGCCACACCATGAAGGCCGGTGGCCTCTTGTTTTGCAGATTCCTTACACTTCGGGCATAATGTGGTCATTTTTTTTTAAAAAAAACCTAGCTCCTGGCTTCTGGGGAAGAGAGGAGAGGATGGTTCAGGGGCAGGGTTAAGCAGATGAAGTAAACCTGAGACCTGGTGACTCAGAGGAAGAGTCATGGGGGCTGACAGATCCTTACTCTCCAGGGCCTGTCTGCCCACGCATGGCTGAAGAGAGCCTGAGCTTCTCACACTGTTGCTGTGATGTGAGAGGGGGCGCGTATCCACATTCCCCAGTCTTCCTGTGGGAAGAGCAACTACTGAATGATGTCATTAGTAGCTGGGTGGTTGTTACACCTGTGACATGTGACAACACATAGCAACGGAGGCAAGTGCATGGCTGACTCTCAAAGTGATTTCTAGGCACAGCATGAAATAAGCATCTGTGAGGGACTGTAGACTCCCACAGAGGCTGTGGTTGTATGTGGCAACTCCAGAGTACAGCAGGTCACAGTGCACCTAGCATACAGATGTGCAAAACACATAAGCCAGAGCTAACAGTGGACAGAGAGAAAGAGAGAGAGAGAGAGAGAGAGAGAGAGAGAGAGAGAGAGAGACTCTTCACATTATATTTACAATGTATAAGACACTTTTGGCTGAGGTGTCCAGTATATTATTGTTATTGGCATCCAACCTACTGTGTAAGAACTCAGCCTGCTGTCTTTATCCTATGTAACTGTAATTTAATAGCCATGGCCAGTAGTGTTTGTCTTAATATCACATATTCTCTTTCATAGGCTGAATCTAAATTTAAGTACATGTGCAACAACAAAGTAGAAGTAAACCATATGGGGAGAGGAAGTTGTCTAAGGTGGAGGGGGCCGGGGGCAATGTGGTTAGAAAGACAAAAATATTAAGTGTTTTCCGTGTGGGGATTTAAATTTAAGTGTTTGTATATACATGGAAACAGAAGCTGGACCATTTAGGAGAAAGGGAATCAGAGAGACAGGAAAGCAGGCATGGGATATTGGGGGGAATCTGATACATATATTTAACAATGTCATAGTGGAACCCATAACTTTATATGCTAACTAAATTAGGGGCTGGATGACTCAGTTGGTAAAGTGCTTGCTGCACAAGGTTGGCCTGAGTTCAGGTCTCCAGCACCACATAAGAGCCAGGCATGATGGTACACGCCTCTAACCTCAGTGCTGGATGTATGTGTGTGTGTCATGCACAGACAGGTAATTCTGGGACTTCTGGTCAACCTCTCTTGCTGAACCATGAGTTTCAGTTTCAGTGAGAGACCCTATCTCATAAGCTAACTGGGGAGGAAGATACATCCACCTCTGGTCTACAAGCAGGGACACATGTAGCTGTATACACACATACATATACATCCTCTACACATGTGCACACACATGTATACACAAAGGCATCCAGGACCTTTTTACTACTAGCTTCTGTCCTTAAGGTTCACTCGTTTCTAAACTTGAGTCCGAATTTCTAACCATGTAAGGTTAAGTCGCTCTGTATCTCATTGTGTTTATGTGCCACATCTCATTTGTATGTTCATCTTTCAGTGGATGATTGGCAGTTTTCACAGTTGGCTACTATGATTGGATGTTATCAAGGAGACAGGAATGCAGATACTGTCAAGTTTCTGATTTCAGCATTTAAGGTTTAGCCAGGTGAGAGGAGATGTGTTTAGAGGGCTAAGGACCAGTGATTCTGGGCTGGGCTGGAGTTCAGTGATACCATAGTGTGATCTTCTGTAGTATATGTGAGTACTAGGTTCAAGTCCTGGTACCAAAAAAAGAAAAGAAAGAGAGGGTTGGACCAGTGATTCTGACTACCAGAGGCCTCTGGACTATTGATCACCTTCTTGGTGGTTTTTCTTCTTAATCCTGAACTCCGAGCACATCCCCCAAGTGGAAGCAAGAGTGTTATTACTATTATTTACCATCTCCTGAAACTTAGATATGAAGACATGCCTCACATCTTTTGAAATTCCCATTTTAAAAAGGAGGAATAAAGCTAGGTTAAAACCCAAAGCACGCAGCATGGTAAGGAATGCTGCGTCTTAAAAACCCCTACTCGCTTCTGATGTATGCCATGCAGTGAAAAACCAGTCATGTGGCGTTTTCCCTGTGTAATTCATGTCCCCAAGAATCAAAGGACTCCTTTCAGTCTGTTTGCTGTGGCAACAACAGAATGCTGCACACTGGGCAGGCTACAAACACTAGAAGTTTATTTGACTCTAAGTTTTAGAGGACTGGAAGACTAAAAAGTTCAAGATCAGAGTCTTCTTAGATTGGCATCAGATATTGAGAACCGAGAGAAGAGTGATGTGAGTTTAAGTCAAGAGTCCTTCCTGTCAGGGACCCATATCCAAAACAAAGGCAGGAACACAGCCAAGAGACAAAGCTCTTGTCCTGATCACCTCTTATGGTCCCACCACCCGTCATCACAGCAATTAAGTTTTGGTTTGGTTTTTTGAGACAGGGTTTCTGGTTGTCCTAGAACCTGCTTTGTAGACCAGACTGGCTCGAACTCAGAGAGATTTGCCTGCCTCTGCCTCCTGAGTGCTGGGATTAAAGGTGTGCACCACCATCGCCTGGCAGCAAGTTTTAACATGAGCTTCGCAGGGTACATCACAGAGTCAAACAGAAGTGAAGGCAGGTCCTGGGAAGACGGTTCAGTGGCCACACTGCTCACTGGGCAAGCTTGGAGACTTGAATTCAGAGCTGCAGAACCACATGGAGTTGGATGTGGTAGTGTGTGTGTCCTTACCTCAGTGCTCCGGAAGAGGTCTTGTTTCAAACAAGGTGGGAAGGAAGGATAGATGACCAAGGTTGTTCCCTGAACTCTGCAGGTTTGCCAAGAATGTGACTGCATACCACACACACACACACACACACTGAAGGCAAATAGAGTCTATGTGTTAGAGAAGGAAAAAACAGCTTAAGATGTGATTGAAACACCGAGAGTAATGGGGCTATTGGAACAAATTTACTCAATATAAAACTGTCCATGCCTCATCCCAGATGCATGTGGATTAAGAATGGAAAACAAAACGTAACACCTTGCAGGATGGAGTGTGTTGTCATGAGGTAGAGGACATGCTTTACCTGTTCAAAACCCTGGGCTTTTTACTGAGCACCAAAAGAGCTAACCAAACACAATGGGAAACTGCTTTTGATTTATTTTCTGTATAGTTTTGAGGTGTCGGGAGTACTGAATAATACATTAAGACTAAAGGAAACAGGCCACAGAGGTTTGCAGCAATTACCTGTGGGGGAAGGATTAGGGATTTTCTTCTTTGTAGCCGTTCTTATTTATTTATTTTTAAAGATTACTTTGTTTTTAATTATGCACACATGCAAATACCTGGGGGGGTATGCACACTTGAATGCAAGGTGGCCAAAGTGGC